AATTTTCAATTTAGAATTTGAAAAGGGCATGTGAGTGGGGGTATAAAAGACTGGAGCAAGTGTTTTCAATGCTTAGATGGGCAAAGAGTGGAAACCCTGGAGATCAAGAAATAGCTATAGTCAGTGGAGGTAAATATTATTGGAAATACATTTTCAGTTTAGGAAAATGTTAACTACCCATCTTTTGCCAAGAGAAAATAAGAGATCTTAAGTTATCCCTGTAACATAACCCTTTCATACTTGGATTTATCTTAGTAGCTCTTCTTTTGAACCTTTTCCAACGTGTCAGTACACAGTATTCCAAATAGGTCTAAATAGTGATCTATGTGGAAATAAAATAAATACAACCTAAAATTGTATTAGATTTACCATTGAAAACAGAACTCTGCTTTGACAGCTTGAATGACTTAACCAAGATCCTTTCCTTTAGCCATGTTATTGTGTGAGTTCCCATCTGTATTAAAATGTGTTATCCAAATTATGCTGACCCAAATGTATTTCTTTGCACTTAATATGATTAAAGGTAATTAGCAAAACATTTGTACAATTTATCATTGATACAAGTAATTGTTATATTGCAACACTTTCAATGCAGCTAAAAGTTTACAAGGTTATCTTGGGTATTGAGAGGATAAAGGCCTTTCATTTCTTTCGGAAGATAATAAGATGAGAGGTCACAACATTTGGAAAAGACAGGCAAAACTTCAGTCAGTTTAGTTTTTCTAACAAGGTGGTTATTGACTTACGGAATGAGTTGCTGTTGGTAGTAGTGGAAGTCGGCACTTTGCAGGAGTTTTAAGTGGAAAATTGATGATTTCCTGAAAAGTAAAGGGTAGGTTTAAGTGTTCACTTTTGTCAAACATGACAACTTTGAAAGACCAAATAATCCCTTGTTGTTTATATTATGTAATCAGCCAAATTTACTACTGAGAGAATTTCTATCTATATTATATGGGTAATTCAAATGATTATAACAAACACATTATTTTGCACTTACTAAATTTAGATAATTTGTTGAATATTTGTTAAAATTATCAATTGATTCAAATCATTCTGTAGTAAATCATCTTTAATACAGCCAGAAATACCCAAGAGTTTGATGTTATCAGTGAATGTTGGTAATTATAGCCTCTACCAATATCATTAATGCAAATAAGAAAAAGCAAGGATCTAATAAATAACACGAGTTAAATCTTTTTTGAAAAAGTATATTATAGATGCAAATAGTTTCTTGTGGATAGTGTTTGGTTTATTAAATTGCTGTAAGGGAAAATACTGTCGGAGAAATGGTTTTCTTTCATCTTGTTCCTAATTTCTGAAAGTCTTGACACAGTTTCATCACTTACAACTTCATGTCATAAACTATTTCAAAAGTTTGTAAGTATTATGTAAAATTTCCTGGAAAAAAGCATAAATAAATAAATATGGTTAGGTGTTGAAATACATGTATTTGCATTGCATCTTATTACTTTAACCACAGAGAGATGTTTTATTTGAGCTTTATGTACATATAGATCCTTGTAATGAACAGCACTAAATGTCAAAGGATTTCCAGTTATAGAGTACCTTCCTTTGTTTTTGTTTATTTATTATACAGATATTACATTTTTATGTTACATATTAATGTGAAGCTAATGGAAAGAGTTTTTAACTACTGAAAATTAATAAGCAGTATTCTATGTGATATAATTTTTTAAACCTACACTATATTCTATTTATATCTGTCAAATTGAAAGAATTTGAAAAGGTGAATGTGTGATGGCAAGTTTCCAAAGCTGAAGATTCTAATAAAGCGAAACATTACAGCTAGACCATGTGCAAGTTATTTTGTTAGGATCAGCCTTTTTTTTTTTTCAACATGGGTTTATTTTAAACTCTCAGAAGAATTGATAGGTTGCCAAGTGTTATGAATAAGATTGGATAGTTTCATTGAAAAGAATCATTTTAAAATGTCATTGTTGTACATTAACATCAGTTTATTTTTTTATAAAACAAAGTAAAATATGTTTGTGAAAAACCTAAATGTGGAAAGCTTATAATGAAACATTTAAGTATTAACAAGCCCTGTCTGATTCAGAAGCAGTATTTAAACTTCATACAAATAGTTAACTAGTTTTATAGCGATTAAATTCATATTATAATAAATTTGCCATAGAATATCTACCTTTGAAAAATTTCAAAGATAATGTCATCTAATTTTATTATTTAAACAACCTATTTTTAATTTCATACAGTCCAGCTTATAAAAGGGAATTGTTAAAAACAGAATTTTTATTCTTTTTATAAGTATTTCACTTGTTACATGCCCTGTAATTTTACTTAGTCAAAAAATCTTTAAGGAAAAAAAGTGTTTCACTTTTTAGAAATTTTCACATTTCACTGTGTTTCTGCACATGTCTTTGCCATGCACGTGTATCAACTTATATCAGTTGTCTTCCTGACATGATACTTAGCTGGATGTGGGGTGTAAACTGTAGACTTGATATGCCAAATAGGCTTAATGAAATCTTAATAAAAGAGTAAATGACTCTTAATAAAGGGTAAACACCAAAACATAATAATATATATATATTGTGTATGTAGTTCCTCATAAATGGTGTCCTATTATCTTTGTATAGGAACATGTTGGCAAATGTGTACGATATAGTACAGCCTGTACGATTACTAGGCAGCCAAGGAACCACTAAAATTGCCCTTTTGGACCAGCCAGAACTGGGTGTTTCTTTCACTAAACTTCATGCATGGAGGCTGATACAGTTCTCAAAGTGTATCTTTCTGGACCCAGATGTAATTGTAAGTATTTTACATCAGAACTAATACATTGTATCTAGTATAATTCAATTAGTTTTGTGTGGAAATTCAGATAATCATACTCAGTTTTTGAATAATTATTTTGTAAAAGTGGCTGACATTGTACAATACATATATGGATGTATGAAAGTGGATGTATTTTCATGTTTCTAAAATAGTGCTTGGATTTATACAGCTTAAGAAATTAGAAAATGTGTATCAAAGTATACACCTTATTTACTTACTCATGATAACACGAAGTATTTGGATTTGACCTATACATCATCTTCATAATGATATCAGCTGTAGGGCTGTGACTACTTGTAGGGTTTTTACCACTACTTCACAATGTAACTCTTACATGTGCCTGATATCAACTATAGTACTCTACAGAATGAATTAGGGTTACCTTCACCTTATTTTCTCAGTCTAATAATAAGGTGTAAAGTACACAGTAGAAAATATATACAGAGTAAATATATCTCAATTATAACAATTTTTAGGCCTATTACTCTCCAATACTCTGCCAACTTTTTATGTTTAAACTTTAATTTTTGTTTTTTATGTGTCAAAGCTGGTGAGAATACTGAAAAATATTTTACTCAGTATTATCTTCAGTAGCCTCTGAAAAATGAAAAATCCAATCCTGCCCATAGGACAAAATTTAATACATCTATAGCTTTCAGATTTATCCAACAAAACCTTGAAAATTACAGGTATCAATTGCTTTGATAAAATAGTAAAGGCTATCTAAAAAACAAGGCTGTATGTAGACTTCTAAAGTGTTATGTCTAATATTACAGTTTTTGTTACTTATTCTGGTATTTCAGAATTCAGAGGTCCCAGTTAAAGCATTTTAGCTTTATTTCTAAAAACAAGTTTGTAAGTATGTCACTTTATTAGCATATCTATTGCTGTCCAATGAGTCAGTTGTTTTAAGTACAGAATTAACCACTGAATACTATAGTTTGAAAAGAAGCCTCACAATTGAGTCTAATATGGGCAATATAAATGTATTTAATTTAAGCACAGTATTTTTGTATATCTTAAAAACAAGGACACAATAAAGGAAGACTATTTGTTTCACACGTCTATAATCATTATATTTTAGTTTGTTTACGATAACTGTGTCAAATCATATTCTAAATTGTTAAAAGAAATCAACAAATTGTCTTTGATGGCATAGGTTCTTGTACATCAGAAGTTTCATCACTTTTGTGTAATGTCTTGGGCAGCTGTTTTATACACTTGTTTGTTTCATTGTTAAACTTGACTACCAAAAGTAACACATCATAATCTGAGTCTAAAGAAGTTCTCTGTTTAAGTTTACATTGTTGCTTACTTTCATATGCATCTTTAAAACTTCTGATATGAATACTTTGTTATATGTCTGATAGGTTATCCAAAATTGTGATGAACTCTTCAAAAGAGGTGAACTTTCTGCTGTGCCTGACATTGGCTGGCCTGATTGTTTTAATAGTGGAGTCTTTGTGTATGTACCATCATTGAAAACCTTTTGGGGTCTGGCTGATTTTGCTGAGAAGCAAGAGAATTTTGATGGTGTGTATTGGTTTGCATGTCATGTTATTCTAAATCGTTTGTTAACAATTCTAGAATATGTTGTGTTTTGTCAGGGAAATATTCATTGTTTAAGTACTGATTATTTTTTGCAATTACAATATGTATTAAAAGTGTTTGAAACAGGTCATTGTTTTTCATAATATTTGATTGGTCTATACTTAATTAATGCCATGTACAATATTATCAAGCAATTTCTGTATGAAACCTTTGTAATGATATGTTAAATACAAATTTTCTACTAACTGTAGACTGTAAAAGAAAGCTTGTAAAGAGACTGAAAATGGATTGTACATTAGAATACAGAAATATCTTAAGTAAATTGAGCATTTCATAAACCTTGAAGGTATTACACAAGACTCATTTCATGTGTTTACATTGTATTGCTTAAGTTTTTCTCGCTTAAAATCCAACAAATTATAACATGTTGCTGCTTTTAATTTAACACCAAACTATTCTGGTATTTATTGTTATAATTTTCTTTATCTTCTCCATTGTTGTATAACAGCTTATAATTTTTTCTGTTAAACTTATGATGGCCACTTTGTATATGTGAGTAATAAGTAAATGAAGTGCTCGGTTGTTTACGTGTGTGTGTGTCTGTCTGTATACAATGTGTGCATGTACATATATTTTCATAAATTCATTTCATATTGGTTTCATGGCAAAATATTAGCACCATGATTTATCATTATCCACTTTAAAACAATCCTATCATACATAGCTCGATGAAAATCATCTTTTGTCACATGCAGCATTACTAATACAATGTTAATGTGTGTCTTATGATTTTTATGTATTTAAGTGTAAAAAATATTTGTTGAATAATCCATTTTATTAAGGACACTTTTGAAAGTAAGTTTGCAATGAATTTGTTTTTGTCTCATAGGATTAATCAAAATTTTACATTAAATCTAGTATATTTTGCATGGATGCCTTTTCTCGGAGTGTTTTACTAGCTAACTTGGTTAATTGGGGAGATGTGCCTGTGAGTTTGGTTATATTTTCTTATTAATTCTATATTAGTTATGTATTTTAGCTAGGGTTGATACGATACGTATCTACATACTGATGTTGCGATACAATACATACTTAGATACAGAAGTTTTACCAATGATTTGTTACAAAGTTTGACAGTCTTGACAATAAAATTTAACTAGAAACAGATGTATAATGGTAACATAACATAATGTTTTGGGACAACATGAGACTTATTGGTCCATCTCAGATGTTTCATCCTCAAAACTAAATTAATTTTTTTTTTTTTTTATTTCTTAAAGCCAGCCCTTATCATTCATATACTTCTTGAGTTTTTCTTAATCTCACATAAATTTACTGCCTGTACAACATCCGAAAGCAATCCATTCCAAAAGCCAACCACCCTGTTAGAAAAATGAAACTGAAGATGACTCCTAACTTGCCAAAATTTATATTTGTGTCCCCCTAGTCCTACTATTCTCACTGT